AAATTTCTCAAATTCCAAATTTCTCAAATTCCAAATTTCTCAAATTCCAAATTTCCCAAGTTCCAAATTTCTCAAATTCCAAATTCCCCAAGTTTCAAATTTTCTCAAATTCCAAATTTTACAAATTCCAAATTTCACAAATTCCAAATTTCCCAAGTTCCAAATTTCTCAAATTCCAAATTTCTCAAATTCCAAATTTCCCAAGTTTCAAATTTCTCAAATTTCAAACTCTCCAATTCCCAAATTTCCCAAATTCCGAATTTCGCAATTCCCAAATTTGCCAAATTTCCCAAATTCCCAAAATACCCAAATCCTCAAATCCCTAAATTGTCAAAGCCCCAAATCTCCAAGAATCCCTAAATTCCAAAAACTCCAAAGTCCCCAAATCCCAAGAATCCCAAAAATCCCCAAATCCCCAAAAATCCCAAAATCCCAAAAGTCCCCAAATCCCAAAATTTCCAAACAGCCAAATCTGAAAATACGTTTAAAAAACAGCAAACAAAAGGATATAAAAACTATTTAAAATCAGCAGATCAAAATACGCAAAGAAGAAATAAAGATAAATTTATTCCGACTTTTTTACGGAACACGCCACTGCACTGTGCATTGGCGAGAGTAAGAGCATATGTATGAAAAAGGCCGCATATCGTTAAGTGACGTATGCACACGCGACGGATACACGTGCTTTCGACGCCGCATTGACACGTTAACTTAGTGCGTTCTTGCTTATTTATTGCACGAATTGCGGTTGCATCACAGACCGACTAACGATGTGTCGTGACTATTTAATCATCTTGATTAAACATCCGTAACTATTCTTAACAACTTTTGCTTATCAAGCTTGAATACAACTTTAGTTTAATAAGACGAGTGATATGTGTTATCAGTTTCGTGGATAAATTTTGGTATCATTTTGTATTTATTTTGAGTATTTGTTAACTGTTTGATTATAGAATGTTTTATTGACGGTCGCGATCTGTGGGTCTATTTAGACCCACTATACATGTAATACATATAATACATTATAATGTGTAATATATCATATGATGTACGTAATGTTCGTATGTACATATGTAATGTAATATGTTTAAGATATGATATGGTACGATATGAGGATGTTAATGTACGCAATATGTAATGTAACATATGCAATATTACATATCATGTACTTTTTGTAATATATTGCATATGTATATTAGATTGTACACATTATATCATATGTTGCATATGTTACATGTGATATAATGTGCAGAAGACATGATCTAGTATATATATATGCAATATATTATATGAAGTACATGATACGTAACATATATGTAAGATGATATGTAGCATATGCAACATATTATATAATGTGTACAAGACATGATCTAATACACATATGCAATATATTATATAAAGTACATGATACGTAACAAATATGTAACATATGCAACATATCATATAATGTGTACAAGACATGATCTAATACACATATGCAATTTATCATATAAAGTACATGATACGTAACAAATATGTAACATATGCAACATATCATATAATGTGTACAAGACATGATCTAATACACGTATGCAATATATTATATAAAATACATGATACATAACATATATGTAACATGATATGTAGCATATGCAACATATGATATAATGTGTACAAGACATGATCTAATACACATATGCAATATATCATATAAAGTACATGATATATACTGTAATATATAATAAAATGTATTAAATATGAAATGTAACAAATACATATATACAAACATCATAATAAATACATACATGTGTAATGCACTACAAAATTATTGCATAATGCTATACACTACTGAAACAACCTATAGTTTCAACTATAAAATATAATGCATAACAGTATTATAAAAAGTACTCATGCTTAGAATGCATTAAGATTAGATAATTGTTAAAACGATGAAGTTGTTCCATATTTAAAAATACAATTGTACATTATATATATCTGCCTCGTATAATTAAACAATTTTAAAATGGTAACAGATAGATAAAGAATGTAAGTTTCAAATAAACATCATGGTTATTAAGTAGTGTACCACATATGTGACTTTAAAAAAGCATACATTTAAAAAATATTTAATAAAATTTGATTTTTGAGTGAAATTCATCCCTTGAGCAAGTCTTTACTTTTGTACGAAACTGTAGTTGAAGATGTATGAAACATTTTTGTACATAATATACGTTTTTATGCATAATTTATGTAGTGAGCTATGTGCATTATATTCTTGTATTATACTACAAGTAATAAGAAGCTAGATATTTTTAAAAAATTGATAAGTTATTTAAGATTGATGAGTTTGTTTACAAAATTTCTGAGTCAAGCTGTATTTTGATCTTTGAACGATTTTAAGATAGAAAGATAGGAAATGAAAGAGTAAAATAAGAGAGGGTATCGTGATAGAAGGGGAGTTGAATTAATCGATAGAATTCCAATCGATGTGGTTGTTTACATTTTAAGGTGTAGCCCTCCTAAATCCCCTTCCTCCTCTCATTCACCGTTTAATTACGCGTCGTTCATTATTTAATCCATCATCTGCTAAGACAACATATCATACACAAACCATTAATTGCTATAACAATACCATAAAATAACAAAATTATTAAACACGTCAATTATTAATACACCTAACTTTGATTTCATAAAAGTCGGTAGTTTTTAGGTAAATATTTACACATGTCCCCACTGTCAAATTAGATTAAATATTTACCCTTTTTCCACTCGAATTATAACGCAGGAACAAAGGTCATCCAGAAATAGGCGAATAATAAAATTACTGATATCGACGTCTTTTTAATTTTATGGAAAATATGGGTATGCAAAGTGTATACGTATGTCGGTGAACAATGACATCATTGCGCAATCAATTACGCAATTGACGATTCAATAAAGACGAGTTATAATTCTTAATATGATTCTACAACTTCGGTGACAATTTAAACAAAAGTGAAACGATGTGCAAGCTTCATTGCATGATAGATGGGGTTTTGGGGAGTTGGAGATTTGGGGGTTTAGGGATGTGGGGAAATACTGATTTGAGGATTTGGGAATATGTGAATATTGGGATTTGAGGAGTTGGAGATTTAGGGAGATGTGGAGATGTGGGGGTTTCAAGGTTTGGAAATTTGGGGATATGGGGATTTCAAGGTTTGGAAATTTAGAGATATGGGGATTTCAAGGTTTGGATTTTAGAGATATGGGGATTTCAAGGTTTGGAAATTTGGAGATATGGGGATTTCAAGGTTTGGAAATTAGAGATATGGGGATTTCAAGGTTTGGAAATTTAGAGATATGGGGATTTCAAGGTTTGGAAATTTAAAGATATAGGGATTTCAAGGTATGTAAATTTGGAGATATGGGGATTTCAAGGTTTAAAAATTTAGAGATATGGGAATTTTCAGATTTCAAAATTTGGGACATAGGAATATGGGGATATGTAGATTTAGAGATATGGGAATTTCAAGATTTACAGATTTGGTGATGTGAAAATTTGCAAAATTAGCGATTTGGAGATTTAGAGATTTAACACTCTGAAAATTCAGAAATTTAGAAATATAGAAATACAGAAACTTGGCAATTCGGAAGTTTGTAAATTTGGAAACCTAAATATTTGAAAATTAAAAATTTTAAAATTCGTCAAATTAAAAATTTGCAAAAACTCGTAACAAAAAAAGGATAATTTCCCCTCAATCATCCTCCAACTTTCCCGACTTCATACTCCACCAGTCAAAGGCAATTTCCGCAATAAAGTCATCCAGTAAATGATGAAACAGATCAATAAATATGTGTAATTGGAAAACGAAAACTGTGCTAGGATTAATCGAGTAACAGGTTATGTAAATAACGTGTATTACATCAACACAACAAACAGATCCACACAATACGATTGCTTCAAAAATAATGTAATCCTAATCTCCCTTAACATTAATATTCTTTATAATACCATTACTTACACACATATTTATATTTCCAATCAAATCTGTACATTAATACATTAATTATTAACGAACAGTAATAAATTCTATTATCAAGTGTCAATAATTAACAAAGATTATGTTTCACAAATTCGTAACCATAAGTGATTATAAACATATCAGTTATAACATTCATCAATTATAAAAATAACAGTAATATAATTTTCTTCACAGCCCACATATTACATCGACAGCCTTATATGACAACAATATTTCAATAATGTTATTAAAAATATTTTCTCCACAGCTCACATATCACACCAACAGAATTATATGACAACAGTGTTTCAATACAGTAAATATCGAACCCTCAAATACAAACAGACAGATCTTCCGATAACGCATAAATCGCAAGACCTACAACCAGGAAAAACTGCCAAAGAATAAACAATACAAGTTCTAGTTATTTTCAAGCTAAAATCGGCATCGAGGATCACGATCTTCGACCCTACATCGAGACCCAGCGATCAGCGGCTATAGTAATGCGGCTGATTATTACATAAACGTCCTAAACGTCATTCGGGGTAGATCATTTGGCCAGTGTTCATAAACGTTTGTCACTATCGAACTCGATACCCAACATTCACTTACAGAACCCATTCCACCAAATACTTTTAACAAAGCACTGAATTACAAAATTTCTTTTCGACTTTTTTCATTTTGAAAGTATTAGAAATTAGAACGATTGAAAGGTAAAGATATTGGCATGGGAGCAAAGTGATTCAAATTGGTCCGAAAAATCCAGTCCGCAAGCAATTGGCGCGTTCCGAGCGTCGAATTAAGTAGCGAATTGGCCGCTGGGTCAATTCTGTGCGACCACTTGCCCGAAGAATCGCGAGAGAAAAAGAGATGGACCAGTTTCGAGGCTTTAACGCGGTCACCGTGTCGGTGATTAATCGACGCGCGGAAAAATAGCGCTCGAAAGAGGCTCGGCGTGCGCGTACGGGACGAAACGACGGTAAAATACGACTAACTTCAGTCAGTAATTTGAGTACTTACGGTGTCGCACGCCGGGGACAAGGCAGACCAGACCCCGTGCGGCTCGAGTCTAAGCCGCTGTAATATCTTCGAGCGTCGAACTGCTCTCACTGGCACACGCATTCGACCTCTACGGAAATAGAGACAGGCGCGATTGGTGTACCAACCTGCGCCTGCTCATATCCCGATGTGCTTCGAGAATGAACGACGCTGTTGCCATCTAGCGACCGACCGACTGCGGGAGTTATCACTAGTTGGTCTGTAATCAACGCTTTTGTATCATGCGAGTCTGGTTGGAGTTTCAAATGGCAGGTTCTTATTTTTGATGACTTCAAACAGAATGACAAGTTTGTTCATTCAGATGATTTTTATGGGAGATGAGGATTTATTGATGTGGATTTGATGAGGATGATTTAAGTTAGTCGACAAGTGTGACTCGTTTTGATTCTCATACTGACTCTAACTCACCTTGTAGATCTGACTCTGACTCTACTCTTGGTGATTCTGGATGAGGTTCATCCAGTTTAACCGTAGTGACATGTTCCAATGTTGAGCCTTTAGCTAGCAAGTCAGAAGTTAGGACTATTGATGCAGGTAGTAGTTAGTTCATCTTCAAATGAATGATCAAGTTGGTCCTCAACAAGCTTGACTGATTTTGATTCTTATTCTGACTCTAACTCATTTTATAACTATGAGTCTGACTCTAGTCTTGATGATCCTGGATGAGGTTCATCCAGTTTAACTGTAGTGACATGTTCCAATGTTGCGCCTTTAGCTAGCAAGTCAGAAGTTAGGACTATCGATGCAGGTAGTAGTTAGTTCATCTTCAAATGAATGATCAAGTTGGTCCTCAGCAAGTTTGACTCGTTTTGATTCTTATTCTGACTCTAACTCATTTTATAACTGTGACTCTGACTCTAGTCTTGATGATCCTGGATGAGGTTCATCCAGTTTAACTGTAGTGACATGTTCCAATGTTGAGCCTTTAGCTACCATGACAGGAGTCCTAACTCCTGTTGGATTACTGTTATACATAGGTACCAGTTCATCTCCAAAAAGATAATCAAGTTGGTCCACATTAAGTTTGATTCGTTAGCAGCAAGTTTGAGTTGTTTTGAAGCTAAATCTGACTCTGACTCTGACTCTGACTCTGACTCTGTCTCTGACTCTGACTCTGACTCTGACTCTAACTCTAACTCTAAGTGTGTTTCTGACTCTAACTCTAACTCTAACTCTAAGTGTGTTTCTGACTCTAACTCTGACTCACTCTGATCTTGATGAGATTAATCCAATTCCAATTCCACTATTAACATGTTCCTTCCAATGTTACTCCTTTAGCCATCAAGGTAGGAGTTAGACCTATTGATGCAAATGCCAGTGAATCCATCCTCAAATAATCAAGTTAGTCCACAAGTTTGAATCGCTTTTATTCTAATCTCGATGACCCTAGATGTGGTCAAACCCATTACAAGTTGCTCAACTGTTCCTTCCAACACTACTTCGTTAGCTATCGAGCTAAGAGTTGGAACTACTCATGTAGACACTAATAGGTCCATCTCCAACTGCATGATTAACTAGATCCACAAGTTTAACTCGTTCCTATTGTGATCTTGATGGTCCAACATGTGGTTGATCCAATTAGAAGATACTCAACTGTTCCTTGTAACACTGCTTCGTTAGCTATCGTGCTAAGAGTTGGAACTACTTATGTAGACACTAATAGGATCATGTAGGTCCATGTCTAAATGCTTGATTAACTTAGTTCGCAAGTTTGATTGGTTTCCTATTCTGATCTTGATGGTCCAACGTGTAGTTAGCATGTGGCTACTTCGTCAGTTATCAAGCTTAAAATTAGAGTCATATGGGTACCAGTGAATCCACCTCCAAAAGTGTAATCAAGTACCTCCACAAGTTTACACTCTGATCTTGATAGTCCTACCTATGCTTGCTACTATGCTACCCATTGCACTATAATTTTTATTTGACAGATGCGTCGGAAATAACTAATCATACCCACAATATTAAACCAGACAAAAAAAGTTGAAGTGTTATGTCAATCTGGTATTACGAAATATTTAAATGTTCTAAAGCTACTTTTCTGGTTAGCATGATAAGGATTAGGGTTATTGATCTGTCTATCAGTGAGACCATCTGTTCCAAAATTGTTGGTAACGAAGAAAATGACATGAGACAAGTGTTTGACTATCTGATGGCATTGGTATCATCACACCTTATCACTTTTTATTTGCTTAAACTTTATGTATTGTAATATAGGTTTATATGACGTTTGACGTTTTTATACGTTTGAATTTTTCATCCGTCTAATAGTGACTATTCTTTTTTGCTGGATGACCTATGTGCGTATTGCAATACAAGTTAGAATATGCTTATTAGCATATTGATTGTGATAACATATCCCATATTGACTAAATGGTAAATGGTATAGGCAAAATGGTATATCTCGCGTTATATGCAAGATGACACATCTCATGTGGACTATATACAAGATGACATATAAATGCATCATTCAACAAACGCAGCTCCAAACATTCTGACAGTTTATTAACCTATATAACAAACTATGAGATTCGTCATGCATAAATTCTGACACACCAGAATAAATCAAAATAACTTTTTATAAATCCCTAACTTGTGACACGAATATCTCTGCACAACAATTCACAGAATATTGTAGAATTTATTAATTTGTCCACCTGTGAATTGCATCAAAAAATTCACATAAATTATCTTTACTAAAATATGAAGATTATCTTCCGATAGAACATATATTACATACAGAAATCTCGAACAGAGCCAGTTGCATAATTGATCATTTTATTATCTCTCTTGTAGCAGTTATGTCAGATCTGACATAATTTTTATCTTCTAATATATACTTCAGTCGCATGACTCTATTATACAATTTCAGTTCGCTATATTGCAATGTTTCTACGTAATGGTCGTTAATTTAGCACAATTTAGAAGTCTAGGTATTTAAGCTATGCTTATTCTTGTCTTGCAATTATAACCAGTTATTTGGATGATGTGAATGAACCCTTAGGGTTATGGTGATTGCGGTGTGCAGTGATGTACTTAGGTCTTTGGAGGCCCTGGGTATTTTTGGATTTTCAAGTTTAGGATTTTGGGACTTTTGGATTTTGGGACTTTTGGATCTTGGAACTTTAGAGTTTTGGGACTTTGAGATTTTTGGACTTTTGAACTTTGGAACTTTAGAATTTCGGGACTCTCGGATTTTAAGTCTTGAGGATTTCAGGATTTTAGGACCTTGGAACTTTAGAATTTTGGGACTTTAGAATTTTAGGGACTTTCGGATTTTAGGACTTTTGGGTCTTGGAACTTTAGAGTTTTGGGACTTTAGAATTTTAGGGACTTTCGGATTTTAGGACTTTCGGATCTTGGAACTTTAGAGTTTTGGGACTTTGAGATTTCGGGACTTTTGAACTTTGGAACTTTAGAATTTCGGGACTCCGGATTTTAAGTCTTGAGGATTTCAGGATTTTAGGACCTTGGAACTTTAGAATTTTGGGACTTTAAGACTGTAGGACTTTTGAATTTTGGGACTTTAGAATTTTGGGGACTTTCGGATTTTAGGCCTTGAGGATTTCAGGATTTTGGAACCTTGGAACCTTAGAATTTCGGGACTTTGAGACTTTAGGACTTTCGAATTTTGGAACTTTAGAATTTTGGGGACTTCAGGATTTTGAACTCTTGGGACTTTGAGACTTAGAGATTTTGTAATCTTGAGACTTTGGATCTTTGAGACCCTCGGTCTTTAGAATTTCAGGACTTTCAGTCTTTAAAAATTTCGAATTTCAGTACTTTAGAACTGATGGTCTTTGGAAGTTTGGAATTTTAGGATTTTGGAAGGTTTGAACTTTGGGACATTAACATTTTGGAACTTTGCAACTTTGGGACTTCGACATGGAACTTCACTACTTCGACATGTTAGAATTTCAAGACTTCGAAACATCGAAATATTCGAATTTAATAATTCTAGAAATCTTTTGAATCAAGTTAAAATGAAGTCTTTAAAGAAACATTTAAAATCAAGTCTTTAGACTCATCCGAAATAAACTCAGACTTACAAAATTTTCCAATTCTTTGAACTCTCAGAATGTTAAAACTGAAGACCTTCAAACTCTCCAAGTTCAACTTTTAATAATTTTAGAAATTCTACAAAAAATATAATCTCCGTAATATCTTCTATGATAGTAAAAACTATCTTACTTTATTTAAAAATCAATTAAACCCTCCATCACAGAGTCACCGACCGCAACGCCGTTTCAAAAACCCCGCCACAGATAATCGATTTTGTGCCACCTAGCGATAAATGAATGCAGCAATCTTGTCAGCTTAGGGACTTAACTACTCCGCTACCGTTGCTATCAGTAGTCTTTTGCGCGAATTTAACGAAATGTGAGTTGACAGTAACGCTGCATTTAACTTGATCGTCTCAGTATAAAACTTTTAAGTTTCTTTTTCCTCCCATCACGAACAATATACTTCACAAAAACCACTTTCCTCCGCTAAACTAAAACCAGTCCTTTACTTTTGATTATACTTTACTTTTACAGTGTAAAGATAAAGGAAATCATTTGAAAAATGTCGTAATAAGAATATTCATCGATAACTGTTTGTACCATAAGGTTAAGTATTTTGATTACATGAGTTCGTTCACGCGCAAAATGCTGATAAAAAGTTATTTTGTTTATTGAATCATATGATGTACTTGTTCTTTGATATTTTTAGACTATTTTTTGCGAAACCGTATCTAAAACGTATCTATGAAAGATGTATTTGGAAAATATGTTTTTTCGTACGTGCTCTCGGTTAATTGGGGCTGTTAAAAAATTCAGATGGGTTTGGAATGATTTAACGGTGTAAAAGATTAATTATTGGATCAGGAACTTTGTTATGAATTTTTAAATATGAAGTTTGGGATCAATTTTTTAATACACTGATACGACACATGAATTATATTTATAATTTTTAATAATATTGCAAGGTTTATTTATACAAAATTGTCATTTATACATATTTTGTATAAATTGTTATTTTGACGCCATTTTTGATATGCTAATAGTAATTAAATTTTTTGTAAGTAGATTGAACTTAATTTTTATAGTT